TTCTCTGAGCTTCCATCTCTTTTAAAGCTATCACACAAGGACACCATACCATTTTGCAGGGTTACTAAATGATACAATTTATATAAAGACGACCAATCAATACTGTTCACTTCTGCAGTGCATGGAAGCTTCACTTTTGCTTTTGTTCAAAAAGTGATAGTCTACACCTGCAATTTTATACTTGAGGCCTTGGGACTTTTCACTGGAGTTACTGGAAGATTTTCTGACTAGAAATTGAAAACTCAAAGAATACCAAGAAATGAACAAGTTGAGAAGCCCACTCTTTGTTTGCCCTTCCAGATGTTTTCGTACTTCTCTCACTGAACTAACTCTGGGAAGCAAGAATTCCTCATCTTTTGAATGAGGAAGCCAAGGCTTAGTGAAATTGACTTATCCTGTAAGTGGAACTGGAATGTAAACTGAGGCTGGTGAACGGTGATGCCTGTGCTCTTTTGTTTTTCATTCCCTTAGGGTGGCTAAAAAGCCTAGGATTTAAACATCCTTTGCCCTCTTTAGAACAGCATATACAAACAAGCCAATTATGCCAAGTTCACTCGCACTTTCTAGTTCATTCCTTCTTATCTCATTTCCCTGGCTCTTCCATTTCCCAGAGGAGAGCCCAGGGTCTCTGATATTTTTGCAGCAGCTGAGATAGGCGGGTAGGCTATACCTCAAAGGGCATTTGGCGCTGTAAGGCCTTCACTCAGTCACAACATAGTCCCTGGAGTAAAAGCATATCCTCCAAAAGGCAGCATTAGCTGTTCCAACCAGCAATTAAAATAATAAACTGCTGCTTTAGTCATTTGGGTGAGTCACAGCAGAGGATCTGAATGCCTTTACAGAGCAGAGTGGGAACTCTCTGGCATGTATGTGAGGCCCTGCTGCTAGCGGGGTGAGACCCATGTAGGGCTAATACTGTGCTGGCACGAGCACCAAGAGATTTGTACTGGGGAGCATTAGAAAGGTTCGGGACCTTGAATGCCCTGCTCCAGAAGGCAGAAGCCAATTTATTCTACTAGCAAGCCGCCTCTGAGTTTTCCTGGGGTTACTGCCCATTCAGCAAATCCAATCTCCCAAGCACCAACTTCCCTAAAAAATGTGGCCAAGTCCCTTTCCTAGGGTACTTCCTGGATGGTTGTAAAACTGCTGTTACCTTTGAGACTTTCCTACTCCCAGAGGGCTCTTCAGTTTTCCAAAATGGGCCTTCTTCCTCCTAATGTGCAGATCTATTTGTTGGGTGGCCAGCCAGAACATCTGATCCTGTGCCATAAAAATAAGGGTGGATGGGACTTCTTCTTGAGCCCACACAGACCCCAGGGTTAGTAATATACATGTTCTACACAGAAACAGCCCTTGTGGGAAAGAAGGCCCAGCTAACCTATAAAATACATACCAACACAGAACCAACTGTGCCATCTATTGATGTAAACAACACATTACATGCATGCTAGTCAGCCAGCCAGATAAACCAAAAGAATGAAGACAAAAGAACATTGAAAACAGTTTCTTTCTTAGAACTCTCTGTATTACTCTTCATATAACATAAGGCTTTTGAAAAGTTACTGTTTAAGCTCACTAACCATTCCCCTGTAGCACCCTAATTAACTAGATATCAAGTTTGATCCAAAGGACTGATCCTACTTGGATATATTCTAGAGTAGCAGGACAGATGGAAAGAAAAACAGTCAACTGTGACCAGAAACATAAAAAGGTTGAAAAATTATGTCCAGATAAAAAGACCATAGGGTAATAGGTTTTTTTCTTCTTTCTACTTTTATTTTTCAAATTTTATTTACATAAAAATATTTATCTGGGTAACAAATGGGTATTTCAAGAAAATACCAAGCGCACAATTTAATCCGTTCCCACAGTGCAGTGAAGGTGCTTGAATGAAAAAAGGGCCAAAGGTGCCCCCGTGTGGCCACAGAGGAAAATGCTGCAGTTTAAAATGCTACTACCTTTTTTTTTTTTTTTAAGTTGATTTGAGAGAGAGGAAGGGAAAGGGACAGAGAGTTAGAAACATCAATGATGAGAGAGAATCATTGGTCGATTGATCGGCCCTCTCCTGCATGCCCCCTACTGGGGATCAAGCCCACAACCCGGGCATGTGCCCTGACCAGGAATCGAACCGTGACCTCCTGGTTCATAGGTCAGTGCTCAACCACTGAGCCACGCCAGCTGGACGCTACTACCTCTTTTTAAGAGGCCTTGGGTTTTCCATCTTTTCCACACCTTGCAGTTGTATTACTTGTAGAAGTTGGTGTAATCACATCATAAGCTTTGAATTATATCAAGAGGAGAGATTTCGTTTTATATATATATTCACACACACACACACTAAAGTTTTAAGTAATCAATATGAACCCTTAAAATTAGTGGAAACTCTACCACAGAGATGCCAAGCCTGCTAGGACATGGAGCATTGCTCTGGTAAGTGAAAAATCAGGCAAGGATGTGGGGTCAGGGAAGCAAACTGTTGGAAGCAAAACAGATTCCAAAGAACAAAAGCAGCTTTAGTCCTCCTTGGAAAACAAGTTCAGCTTCTGTTACCATTTGAGTTATAGGAGATCAGAAGCCAGTGCCAGGGACCAGAATAGAATTTAAGATCATACCACAAAGATTTAATTCCATACCAATCCATCAATATGAACGTGACCTTCAGACATTTAAGGCAAGTATCATTCAACACGATACATGGGTCAATAACCTTTTTTTTTTAAAAATGTTTTTTATTGATTTTGTTAGAGAGAGAGGAAAGGAGACAGAGAGAGAAACATCAGAATGGCTGCCTCCCACATGCACCAGGACCAGGGAATCAAGCCCACAACATGAGCATGTGCCCTGACTGGGAATTGAACTGGCGACCTTTCAGTGCACAAGACAAAGCTCAACCAACTGAGCCACCCAGTCAGGGCAATCACCTATTTGTTTAAAGAAAATAAATTGCTCTTTCCCCTATACCAAAGTTATATGCTATCACATCACATATCACACAATTATAAAGTACATGCATACCTAAAGAATTTTTAGATGTCTTTTAAAAAATGTTTTCAATGGCCCAGCCAGCATGGCTCAGTGGTTGAGTGTCAACCTATGAATAGGAAGTCATGGTTCAATTCCCGGTCAGGGCACATGCCCAGGTGGTGGGCTCAATTCCCAGTGTGGGGCGTGCAGGAGGCAGCCGATCAATGATTCTCTCTCATCACTGATGTTTCTATCTCTCTCTCCCTCTCCCTTCCTCTCTGAAATCAATAAAAATATATTTTAAAAAATGTTTTCAATGTTCTCATTAGATATCCAAATGCAAAGAAGACATAGCTCTAGCAGTGGAAGCTTCCCTTGTCACGTATCTTTTAAACTCTAAGTGCATTGACAACACCTATAAAACCTCCTCCATGACACAAAGCCTTAAACCTGGGACAATGAAACTTGCACAGATCTTTGGTGCCTCCAGTTACATAGCTTATTCTCTGGGAATCTCTAAGTACTAGATCTAAACAAAGCCTAATACTGTGCCTGAAATATATTTTGATCAGGCAAGGAGTATAAATAAATGCACTACTGTTATAACATGGAAAAATACTTATAAGGTATAAAATGAAAAAAGCGTAATATAAAACTAAATACACAGCATGAGTACAACCAAAGTTAAACCCAATCACACACCCCATCTACAGAAAGAGAGACTAGAAGGAAACACTAAAACACCATTAGTGGTTGTGTTTGAGAAGGCTGAGACTCGGAGTGACTTTGTTGCCGTTTTCTTTCACTTTTCCAAATCTTTAATGAGCACGTGCTAGATTCTTTTTTTTAATGACACAAACAAGCAAAAAATAAATACTTATTGGCCACTAGTTGCCTCCTAACTCAATTACCCTAAAATTCTATCAAGACAGAAATTTACCTTGGTTTGGGTCTGGCATATGATTCAAATGTGTCGTCAGAGGTCAATACAGCAGGCCGGTGTGGGTGAGCACAGGAGATTATTGGACCAGAGGAATCCAAGACTATGCATTAAATCTTGGTTCTGTGTGACCCTAGGCCAAGACTGGTCTCCTCAACCTGTCAAATGAGAGGTTGGACTAGAACAGTGGTTCCTAATCCTGAGTGGGTTACTGACTGCTCTAAGTCAGGAACCCTTCTTTCCAGGAACAAAACGAAACAAAACACATATGCTCACAGAGCTTTTAAAAACAACCCAGGCTTGGCCGGCATGGCTCAGTGATTGAGTGTCGACCTATGAATGAGGAGGTCATAGTTTGATTCCCTTCCTCTCCGACATCAATAAAATTATATTAAAATTTTTTTTTAATAAAATAAAAACAACCCAGGAGGTTTATGGATTCTCTTGAGGCTCACAGACCAGGTTAAGAACACTGATGGGTTACTATGTTATCTTCTGCAGCTGTTTCCATCGCTACAGGCAGGTATAACATAATCCTATTTTCATTTCCTGTATCTTTGCTGAGGGCCTGGCCTAGCTACTGGCAAAATATGCCAAGGTCATCAGTATTCTGCCCTAACCAATAGCCACCCTTCTAAAGTGTGGCTTAACTATTCTGCTCTGGTCTTCTTTTTAGGTAACAAGGGACTCTGTCCGGCACCATACTCAAAAAAATTCAGTCTAAATAGAATACCAGGCTGCTGAAAGTGAAGCTCAGCAGAGAGTAACCAAAACACCAAGAGAACAAAAAATGAGACTCCTTTTCCAGAGGCATTCCTGCTGAACCCTGACATTCCAATTAGAAACATGTTTTAAGAACATGGTTATCCTGGCCTCAGAATTCTCGTATGCTAACAGGTAGGTAAATACAGAGGGGATTACTAAGGAACCAACACCAAAGTAGTAACTGATCAGCTACAACTGATCTGCCAATAGATGAGAATTTAAGCAACATAACTATCTTGCTCCATTTCTTATTTTTATCATCATTCACCCATTCAAACTCAAGAGTATATTTCCCCAACCCCAGGATTCAAACAGGATGGACAGTTTTCAATTCAGAATTACTCTTATATTAAAAACAAAACAAAGCTCCATTTCAAATGTCATATACTAGTAAAACTACTACAAACAGTACTTTCAACAGGTTGGAGGTAAGGGTATGGCTTCATTCTGTTGTGTCTCAGTCACTCATATCTGGGAGTTTTGCTTACCTAATTGTTTCTGGAATAAGCAACATCAAAATGGACATGAGTCAGGAATGTGACGTTTCCAGGCACTCCCCAGATCAGCCCCTCTTCTGGCATTACTAAGCTTCCTCTCCCTGACTCTCCCACCATCTACCATCAGGCCAGTTCTTTTCCTAGGACTGACTCAGGGGCAGTCAATCATATGTACCCAGAGAAAGTCTTCAGTCTTCAAGGTGACACTAGAAGAGGGCACAGAGCCTATCTGCCCAGGTGTACTGCCTCCATTTGGAGGATGAGAAAGCAGGATGCTCTGTACAGTTCTGACCCAGACCAGGTTCCAAAAATAATCCTTTTAGCCTCAGAGAAGCAGTCTAAAGCTAAGGTAATCAGTTTAATTCAGGTTTAAATCCATTATGAGTGTTCTGATGGCTTTTTTTTGATGCTGATAATCACAATTCTTCCTCCTGAACTACCATACTACAATGCCCTGTAACTTAAAAAAAGGGGGTTGGGGGGAGGTCTAAAAATGAATTAATTTGTTTTTGTTTTTAAAGGTAATTCCACATAATGCTACCAATAAACCCATGGTAGAATTCCTCTTGCCACCCCACAGGCCACTCCAAGCAAGCTGCTTCATAGAACTTTTCCAACTGTGCAAGAAGTTTGGAGTTAACTGGCAACAAGCCTGAAAATCTGGTTACGTATATAGGTACAAAGCTGGTTCATCAAATCCCTGTTCTGACCCTCAACCCAGTGCATTTCAACTAGGGCATCATCTACCTCCTTCTTAATGTTTATCAAACACTTGAAAAGGTAATGTCCAGCCACTCCTTGGAGAGGGTGCTCTTTTTCAGACACTGGGTTGATAAGCTGCTCAGAAGCCTCTCGGTCCTGGGCTCCATTGCTAGAGCCTTTACAACTTTCCAAGACCTCCATGTCTCCCTTTTCCTCACTCCTTTCATCCTCCATGGGTCCTGGGTTTCCTTCCTGGAAAAGCGAATCCTGGACTGGGCCATGGCCCTCAACAGTGGCTGACTCGCCTTCCTGTAGAGCAGGCCCACTCTCTGGGGGGCCCTGGGCCAAATCTTGGCTACTGCCAGACTCTTCGGGGGTGAACTTTTTCTCTTCCAAGGCTTGGATGACATCCTCAGGAGCTCGAGGAACTTCTCTCAATTGTCTCACTCGTTCTCTTTTCTTTCTCCTTAAATGAATCCAGGAGTTTTCTATGGCTGTTAGGAAAAGGCTAACTTCCCCCTTTCCACAAGGAACTCGTTTATGCTGGACCTATTTGGAGGAAAAAAACAGAATTTTATAGGAAATCACCCTCAACACCCCCCCCCCCCCCGCTTTTTTTTAAAGGAAAATAAAATAAAAGATATAAGTACTTCTTCAATGTATATAACCAGGTACCTTAAGATCAGTGAGAATTTTTTCAATCCATGTTGTCACAACTACTATGCCTTCTTCCACTGTCCCCGAGCCCAAAGATGATGCTTTGAGGGATAATTCTTTCATCACAGACTCCAACACTACAAATGTGATGGGTTTCCTTGGCTTCTCTAATTTTCTTCGCTTACTTGGTGGTGACTAAAAGAAAAAGGAGTGGGAAAAGAGGGGAAAGTTACAGAAATAATTTAATGCATTATAATGAACTCAGGGAAATTTCCATGACTTCTATCAATCATAGAGCACTCAAAACACAAAGGCTTTTCTTTGGCATGTTTGTTATTATTTTTTTTAATTAATCCTCACCCAATGCTATGTTTCTATTGATTTTTAGAAAGACATTAAGGGAGAGACACAGAGAGAGACAAACATCAATGTGAGCGAGAAACACCAAACGGTTTTTTCCTCACATGCCCCAACTGCGGATCAAACCGAAACCTTTTGGTGTACAGGATGACATCCAACCAACAGAGCCACCTGGCTAGGGCTGCATGTTTATTTTTAATACTTAAAATAGGTTTAACACCACCTCATTTTACAGAAGGGAAAACTAAGACAGAGAGGCTACATAACCAGCTCAAGGTCACAAAGTTAGGATGTGAACCCAAACCCAGGTTCCTTCTGCTGCCATACCATGCTTCTGGCGATCAGTACATAACAACTCCTCTAATAAGTAAATATCCTTAATCTACTTGCTGTGCCCCAGATGGGCCTGTATGATTATTTCCTTCAAGGCAACTCAAAGACCCTGAAGGCACTGTGTTCTTTTCTATAAAGAACTGCATGGCTTAAAAGCACCAACTTGTAGTCTGATAATCACAATTCTTCCTCCTGAACTACCATATTTGTTTAAACTTGCTGAGGCTTGAAAGAAAGAAGCTGGTGAGGCACAGCTTGTGAGATCACATGCTAGAAATGACCAGTGTACCAGGATCACATGGGCAGAAGAGAAGGACTAGTGAATTTTGTCTAATGTTCAAGCCAATCCAGTGACCAACTAAGCACTGCCTCTTAGCTGGGGAGAGGGGACACCAGTTCAGATGAGAACAGTGGATTTGAAAGCTGGTTCATCTTCCGGTTTCAAGCTTGGAAAGTGAATTATACTCTACCCACTAGAGGGACTCAAGTTCCATTTTATAAGCCAAAAGACAAGGCTAGGAATTATTTCTTTAAAGTAAATACTTACTAAATGTTTTTTTTAAATGATTCTGCTAAGACCAGATATATTATGGGCACTTTATTTTAAGAGACAGACTCCTACTTGTTGACAAAATTTATCAAAACTTTAGAAAAATTAAGATAATTCTAAGGTCATGGTAAAAATAAACAGGTGAGGAGTATAAGGAAAAAGGCTAAAAAAGAAATACCTAGTTTAGCTTTGCAGATCTTTTCCTACAAAAAGGAGTCCCTGATAATTATGCTGCTAACTTTAGTTCTACCTAGAAACAGTGACAGGGCACATGCATATACACACACAGAAAGGTCTAAGTATTGGGTGAGGTTTTATAAGAACTAACCAGCAACACCATACCCCATACATAAACAACAAAATAAGCAGTTTATTCTATGCTATAAAACTACTAGACAGCATTTGTAAGTAACAGTCTGTATTTTTCTCTATTATTCAATCATCCAGCATAAGAAACATAATTTCTAGTCTATGGAGAACCTAACACTTTGCACTAAGAAACTTAAAATATGATTATTAAACTCGGGAGGAAGAAAAATGGTGGTGTGTAGGAGGATGAGGCACAAGAATCGGATTCTGTAACAAAATAAACAAACGGAGACGGACTCACAGATACAGGGAACAAACTGATGGTTGCCAGACAGAAGGGGGGTTAGAGACTGGTGAAAAACGTGAAAGGATTAACTACAAATTGGTAGTTACAGAATAGTCACTGGGATGTAAAGTATAGCACAGGGAATACAGTCAGAGAGGAAGAAAGACAGAGAGATAGAAACACCAATGATGAGAGAGAATCACTGATTGCCTTCTGCACACCCCACACTAGGGATTGAGCCCGCAACCCCGGCATGTGCCCTGACAGGGAATCAACCATGATCTCCTGATTCACGGTTGATGCTCAACCACTGAGCAACACCGGCTGGGCAGGTGTATTTCCTTATATTAAAAAAATAAACAATGGAAGGATAAATTATAAAACTGTTAAACCCATGGAGCAGTGAGGGATTAAGGTGAGACAAGAGAAAGAAGCCAAACTTCTGACTATATCTTTTTTTAGATATTAAAACCATGTAAATATATTTTATAATTACAAAGCAAAATTAAGTAATACGAAAAAGGCCAACCCTAAAAATATAAAGTAAAATCAAACAAATAGAACCCATAAACAGGAAACATTCCAAATGACTTTAAAATCCAAAGGGGGGGAAATCTATTTTCATAAATCTTTTTGTTATTGGTAATGTTAATTTTGAGAACTGTGGTGAATCAGTGGGTCAAAAGAAATGAGTAATTATATTAGTACTAGAGGCCTGGTGCACAAAAATTTGTGCATGGCGGCGGGGGGGAGGGGGGTTGTCCCTCAGCCCAGCCTGTGCCCTCAAGCAGTCTGGGAACCCTTGGGAGATGTCCACCTGCTGGCTTAGGCCCGCTCCCCAGGGGATCGGGCCTAAGCTGGCAGTCAGACATCCCTCTGGCAGCCCAGGAGCCCTTGGGGGATGTCCACTTGCTAGCGGGAGCAGGCCTAAGCTGCAGTCGGACATCCTTAGCGCAGCGGAGGAGGTGGGAGAGGCTCCTACCACCACTGCTGTGCTGGCAGTCGTCAGCCTGGCTTGTGGCTGAGCAGAGCTCCCCCTGTTGGAGCGCACTGACCACCAGGGGGCAGCTCCTGCATTGAGCGTCTGCCCCCTGGTGGTCAGTGTGTGTCATAGTGACCAGTCATTCCCAGTCGTTCCGCTGTTAGGGTCAATTTGCATATTACCCTTTTATTATATAGGATAGAGGCCTGGTGCACGGGTGGGGGCCGGCTGGTTTGCCCTGAGGGGTGTCCCGGATCAGGGTGGGGGTCCCGTTGAGGTGCATGGCCAGCCTGGGTGAGGGGCTGAGGGCCGTTTGCAGGCTGGCCACAGCCCCTTCAGGGTGGGGGCGGGGTCCTGCTGGGGTGCCTGGGCAGCGTGGGTAAGGGGCTGAGGGCCATTTCCAGGCTGGCCATACTCCCTTCAGGGTGGGGGGCCCTGATGCAGTGCCTGGCCAGCCTGGGTGAGGGGCTAATGGCTGTTTGCAGGCTGGCCACAGCCCCTTCAGGGTGGGGGGCCCTGATGCAGTGCCTGGCCAGTCTGGGTGAGGGGCTGAGGGCTGTTTTCAGGCTGGCGGGTGATTGAAGCTCCCAACTGCTCCTTTTTTTCTTTTTCTTTTTTATTCTGGGCCAGCTTTAGCTCTGGCTCCAGCTCTGAGGCCTCTGCTGCTGAAAGCAGGTATCTGGTTTGTTTGGGTTCTATAATCGACACAGTATCAACTCCAGCTCTGAGATCCTGGCGGGCTGAAAGCAGGTTTCTGGGGTTTTGTTTAGCTTCTATATTTGTAACAATGTTTCAAACTGCAGGCTCAGAGGCCGGCAAGGCAGGCGGGGAACGTTGGAGTCCTCCGTCACTGAAGCAAGCAAGGCTCATGTTAGCTTCAAGCTGCCTGGCTGCCGGCCGCCATCTTGGCTGGCAGTTAATTTGCATATCTTGCTGATTAGCCAATGGGAAGGGTAGCGGACGTACGCTAATTACCATGTTTCTCTTTTATTAGATAGGATGGCTAATGACTGAGATTGCTGACATGAGATTTTTAAATGGGAGATATAGACAATTGGTGATATTAAGTAGGAACAGAATAGAAAGTACAGCATGAACTTAGAATGTATTTCATCTTTAATTCCTAGCTCTATCCACTGAAAAAGCCTAGAAATAATACCAATTCAGTAATGACCAACCTAGTGCCCAGAGAGCTCTAAATACCATTTCCCACTAAAATCAACCAGTGGTCCTTGGAGAAATGGTTGATTCCAGGTCTGGGATAGAAAAAGATATGAGCCTGAACAACCTGTCACACTACAAACAAGGAAGCTACCAAAGCCTACAATGGTCTCAGTAAGAAGACTCAGGAGTCAACGTGAGCAAACTTCCCAAGGCCACAGATGGACATCCTGTGCATCCATAAAAATAGTACGTGTAATGGATTGAAAAATATTGAACGTGTAAATCCATGAGTTTATAATACTTTCAAAACAAAAACTAAACCACCCTCTTTGGTCACTTTTGGAGATGCTGGGAAAACACCAACTCATCATTCTTAAAATTGAAAACTAAAGCAAAATAATCAAGCATTTATCTTGCCTTTACTAGATGAACTTTTTGGGTAACAACATATAATTGATAAAGGCAAGTTTCTCTTTAGATCATCAATGACTGTTCACATTACAAAAGGACACAAGCAAACATTATGTGCCTCCTGATGGAAGTATATACCACACACCACCTAAAAAGCAGTCTTGCCCTTCCACTCTCCCAAATCAAACCTGTATATGAGCAACTCTCTAGATCTAACTACCAATTTACAGGAAAGACAAGGTCTGAGGAACACATTAATTAATATCATGAAAACCTACTCAGAAAAATCCAGATGTAAAAAACTCCACAAGACAAATAGGCTAGTTTCTTCAACAAACAAGGGAGAGAGGAAGATAAGGGGGGAAGGAGAAATAGAGGAAGAGAGAGAAGGAGAAAAGTCGGGGGGGACGCACTACAGAGTAAAATCAATTTAAGGATATATCAATCAACTGTATAAAATGTAAGATTCTAGTTTGACAAATTTTACAACATCGGATCAACTACAGAGCTGACATGACGAATTACTGTTAATATTTTAGGCATGATTATGGTATTATGGTTATCTTTTAAATCTTTACCTTTAGAGATAAATATGAAAATAGTTATAGATAAAATAACTATGCTTCAGAATATCAGGGCAGAGGAAAGGAGTACAGATGAAACAAGAATGGGCATGAACGGTTCAATTCCCGATCAGGGCATATGACTGGATTGCGGGCTTGATTTCCAGTGTGGGGTGTGCAGGAGGCAGCCAATCAATGATTCTCTCTCATCACTGATGTTTCTATCTCTCTCCCTCT